AGTCCTTCAATGCAGCAGCTGCCTTGCTGACCATCAATCCCCTGTTCACAGTGGCAACTTCAGGGACTGCTCCCAGGATCAGCACCACTTGCTGAAACCAATACCCACTGGTGCTTCTGGCACACAAATATTTGCAGTAGGGAATTTAGATGAAATCAGAGAAGACCTAAACACTGCTGAGCATGTTACAGGGCCTCTCAAATGAACCAACTTATCATTCTTTTTCCAGTTTGCTGTGTAGAAACTATTTTACATCAGTAAAACACACAAAGGCATTTATTTTAGTTGGCAGACCAGCACAAACACATTAAGAAACCTAGAACAATTGTAAAAAGTGAGCAACAATGCCTCAACACTTCTATTGAAGAGATCTCTTCCTGACAGCCAATTCACTGAGCAAACTCAAAAAACCAAAACAAGAAAAAAAAAAAAAAAACCATTAACAGAACACAAATTTTAAAAGACCTGCTAATAATGACCTAAAAAAATATGAAATTAACCCACAAAAGCAGCATTATGGGTGCTGCTGTACAGGACCAGCCTCACCCTGCACATCCCAGCTAGCCTTTCCCCACGTTTCCACTCATCCTTAGTCGTTAACCTCACACTGAGATTCTGGAATGCTTCACAGATTACCAGCTCCCTTCATCCTGATTTTAAATTCCCAAAGAAGGAAGAAGGTAAAGCTATGTTGAAAAGTATGCATACATTATACAGCATGCAAGAAAAGCCCACAGTATTCAGAAACAGTGTTTAGGATGACAAACAAAATGTTCCCAAGAGCAGTTGCTGTAACACCAGAATGCTGGACAAGAGAGGAAAAAACCCAAAACAATCCCCAAAAAACCAAAAATACAGAATGTAACCTAATATTAAAGTCCTCTGTAATAAAAAAGTAGGGGGTGGGGATAAGGGATAGTCTCTGAAGTACCATTTTTCTATCTTTTAATCATACTTTACTGTGTAAGAAACTTCTAAGGAAGAAAAAAAACGGAAAACATTTCAGCCTGACCAACTTCCCACGTTGCAGTACCATTCCCTTCCCAGTACTGGTGTTAACACTAAATTTTGGCAGAGAGGACAACTACTTGAATGAGACTGCATGCATCTCTAGTGCCTCCACAGATTTTATCAACAGCTGATGGTGAGATTAGCTAAACTATGCTAATGCTACAAGAGATGGAAGAGTTACAGCACCAGTAAAGCACAGCAGCAGCATCACTTTTCAGCAGTAAGGAGCCAATAGGTCAGCTTAGCTTGATGGGAAACTTCCTCCTATGTTTGCCATTGTTATTCGTAACTAATAATATTTCCGATTTCAACTTCAAAGATAAAATGAAGGAAAGGTAAGTATGCAGTAGTATACATCAAAGTCCTCATGGTCAAAGTATTAGCAAAAAAAAAAAAAAAAAGCATATATATATAAATATATATATATATATATATAACTACAAACCTTGTGATTAAGTCCTTGCTTTTCAAATCAAATTATTGGATAACAATTTCTGACCTTGCTCAATGAATTTCTTTCCTCTTCTTAATAAGGGAAAAACCAAAACCCACCTACCCCACCTTGCTCCCAAAAAATTCAATCTCTGCAGGCTTCAACCTTTAAGTACTATCTCCAAGAATTACTACCAAAATCAACCAATTTCTGTAATTAAACATATTTAACCAACTCCTCCTATATTTTTGACACTGACTTTGGCAGTCAGAAAACACTCTTCATAAATTTTGCAATCTGGATTTCTATTCAGTGATCAGAATCTGAGATTCACTCTTTCCTGAGAAAATAATTCCTGAGAAAATATTTTAAAAAAACATTCACCATCAGAATCAAAACATTGAGATTTGATTTGCCCTGCCATATTCTTTTCCACACAGCAGATAACATTCACTCCACCTAACCCATCCTCTAATCCTGAATTAATATAACCATGACCAAGAAACAATACATGTAACCCACAAGCTTAACCAATAAAAGGGTGTCACATCACACACCATCATGGAGAAGTATTTAGAAATTGCAATTAAGTCGTTATTTGTAAAAAATAAATAAGTCATATGACATTTAACAGGATGTGGTCTCTCCCCCTGTGGTGAAAACAGATGTAATGAGCTTTAATTTCCAAATATCATCGGTATCATCATAGCTTAAATTCCTAGACTGTAACACAAACATCGAAAAACATACAGCTTGATTTAGCAATTTTACTGATAAAAATAATTTTGTTAGATGTCTGTTTTATTTACCACACAATTAATAAAAATGAGATCTTAAGCAGTTCTGTGTCACCTACAGCCTCTTTGGAAGACAAAGTAGCAAAGGACAAGTTTTATACTTCACCAAAATGGGCCTCTTGTGACAAAATTCTGAACATTGGTTTGGTCTGCACAGTTTATGTGTTTAAATATTATAGTTCAGCTAATAGGAGCTTTGCTGATGAACCCATTCAAGGAAAAAAAAATCACACAGCCTCTGTTTTCTATGATGAGATACAATCCAGTTACTTTGTACCAGTTGTGTTCACACCAGGAATTTGTAGCAAATTAAAAAACTGTTACAAATTCCTGATCACTTTCATTTTGTCTAGCAACTGGTCATGCCTTGAAGAGTTTATGGAGTAGACAGCTAGGTTTCTTTGTAGATTAGTTATTAAGAATGACATTATAGAAAGCCAGATCTTTTTTTCCTTTAGTGATAACACTAAACTGACCATTCTTCTTCTACCCTGCTAAGCAGGAGATGCACAGTCCATACACCAAGACCAAGAAAACCACCAAACTCACAAGACTCCCTCTCTGACCCTTGCACAATTGCTTGTCACCAGGTACAACAGGTTCCAGTGACAGATGGCATTTCCCTGACACTGAGGCAAACACAAGTACAGTCCACATCCCTCCACTTTGAAGACACAAAGTAAAAAGCCAAACAATCCCTATCTCCACGTTACAATCAACAGGGTATCTCAAAGTCAGTACAATCTCCACCAAACCCAGGAAGGCATCAATGATTTTACTTCACAGATCTACACTGTAGCCTGGAGCTCAGCTGTGGTAGCCAGAGCCCATTTTTCAGTAAACTATGCTCACTGGCTTTATCCCAACACCAAGAGTTCCCAGAACTCCATCACAAGCCCCATCACAGTAAAGAATCTGCACTCACTTGGCTGTGCAAGGCACTGATTCAGTGACAGAGATCAACACAGCAAGCAGGACAACTCGCACGTGTTCTTTTCTAATTGTCTACCATGTGACCGTAAAATAAAATTTTCTCAAGTTCTACTGGGAGAAAAACAGAAAGGAAAAAAATCATAGATTAAAGCACTTGAAATTAATAACACCTAAATTAAGTCCCCAGCCTTGATCAACATGAAAGTTGTTCCGCCTCACTCCATAGACCTGCCCTCTTCTCCCTAGCACCACCAAAAAAAACCCCAGTCTTGCTAAAACTAGCATATTTCTGATCTTTCTTAAGGGAAATAAGATTCTTCACAGGAATTTCTATAATATATATATTTCCCAAACCACTAATGTGCTCTTACAAGCACATCCAAATTTTTTGAAAATTACAAAAACTGCAAAGTAACTTCAAAATATCCATACCAATGATTTCTTCATTTTCAAACTTGAAGAAAAATATCTCCCTTTTTTTTTCTAGCTACCTTGCAATTAATTACCATGACTTAATGATTTTTTTCCCACTAGGGAAGAATATAAATGTTTATTTAAGGAGAAGTTTCATTCACTTTTTAATTACAGGAAGAACACTATATGGAATGAAAGTCTAGATGTATAAACAAAAAACATTATACTACATACTGGCATTCAATTTAACCTGAGTTGAAGGTACTATAAAAGACTTTTTCTCCCTCAATCTGAAAACCCAAGATTTCTATACTAATAACTTTCCTGAAACATACTGCAGTAGCAGTGAATTACCAAAAATTTCCTATCCAATGTGCTTAAAGTAAGAATTGCATAAGCAATATTTATCCAGTAATTCCAAGTCACAAAAAATCTGAAATGCAACTATTTTTAAGACAAACTTTCAGCATGGAGACGTCACAGAACCTGGCCTGTGCTTGACATATGAATGCTTTTGTAAAACTTTTAATGAAAGACGAAACACTTCCCTATTTCTCTACCGCTTGCCAAATACTCTAATTCTTGGAAAGCAGCCAGAGCAACCATGTGGCGGTTACCACCCACAAACCACATCCCCAAATGTCAGACACACAACAGGGCACGTGAAATACACTTCTGCAGGTGTTTGGGTCCATCCACCCACTGCTGCATTTTGGGTATTGCACACCCGTGTGAAATGTAAAATCTGATTGAGAAATATGAGGTACTTCACACCAAATACTGTATCACTTAGTACTGAGTATCTCAGGTTACTGCATGAAATTCAATAGATGAAAAATGCTCCTTATCATGAGTAAAGCCACTATCAAGTACCAACAGATTATTTCCTTATGATTACCGTTAGATATCATCAGTATAGAAAAATAATTTTAAAATTTAATTTCTTTCATAATTTAAGACTATGAGCGGTTACATTAATCTCAAGTTACTGTAAGAGAAAAGGCACTTTTCTGCACTAGCAAAAAGCTGCACTAGCAAAAGGATACATGGTCAGAAGACACTGTTCTGCATTCAGTCCTTGTACTGTTCCACTGTCAGCAGTCTATCAGCATTAGCCATGCCAGTATTTCATGGAATTTGACTGAGTTATCATGATTACTGGAATTTTAAAGAAAAGGCTGATTTGCATTAGCTCTCATAAACGTTTTCACTTTTTTCTTTCCAATTCTTGTCCTTCATTTTAAGTTTTCTCCCTTGGCTCATTTCTGTTTCTCCAATCACAGCCCTTAAACACAGTAACACTTTACCATGAATTGCCATGGCAGATTAGAAACCAAGGAATCTCTTATTCTTAAACATTTAATTAATGTAAAAAGCCTGAAAATTCTGTGGCATTAAAAAAAAAACCCAAGTCAAAATCTATAATACCTTTGTTGCAATGATAATTTTGAGATAAACATTATTTTTTTAAAATCACTGCAGAGATACAAACTACCCTACACAGTTCTGGAAGGGAAAGAGCAATCTACCCAAAACAGCTTCTATTTAACAGAAACCAAACAGTCACCATTTAAGTGCTTGAACTTCAGTGTTAAAAGGGGGAAAATCAACTGAAACCAAAACAACCATGGTCCAAACAGCAAGACTTCAGCATAAAAATGAAGCACATACCTTGTTTAGTGCACTTGTTTTCTTCCGTCAGTTATACATTAGCAACTTTCTCTTACAGTGAGAGTCATTTATACACATACACACAGAGCACTCAACTGTTCTGTCCTCCCACCCCATCCTAGATCCCAGAAAACACAGAGAGCATTTAAAGGTAGCAGGAAAGTATACTTTTTTAGTATCTGACTGCGCTAGAAAACACAAACATACACATCCCTCAATCCTTACTGTATCCACAGATAAAAGAATCCAGAATGAGATAAAAAACCTGAAGTGGATCAGCACAGCAACCATCCACAGAGGCTTACCAACATTTGGGCAAGGAACTTTTGAGGAATATTGAAGCATTTAAGGCATTAGATCAATTTTCTGGTTACTGTGAAGATAAAGAGGAATCTTACCCAAAAGGCAATTGTTAACAGAGATAAGTATGGGAATTAAATATTTTGGAAAAAAAAAACACAACAAAATAAAACCCCCACCACGGATTTCTGTAATAAATAAACCACTACATTATATTATGCAAAGACTTAAAAACAACATGCATCCATTCAAACAGTATTTATTTAATTACACCGTAATGCAAATAAGTTAGGTCCATATAAACTTCATTTTGTTGTATGTACAACCTATGGCATTAGCAAGCTGATTGAGCCAGCTGGTCTAAGTGTCGGCCTCTCCTCTGGAATGTACGCATCTTCTGACACTCTGTCCATCGGCTGCGTCTACAACAGGACCACCAGAGCCTTCATCCCCAAAGTAGACTGAAAGGGGAGGGGGGAGGAAATCAAAGTCAGATTTGCAGCACATACTTGTCTTTAAATCAATATCTGTAAAACACAAGTCTGGAGAAACAGCCTACAAATGTACAGAATAAACACTAGCTCCCAAAATACTGAAATAATGCCACCATTAAAGTAAAATTTAAGGCTACAGAGCACTCAACATGAGCATCTGTAAGCCTCAGATTAGACAAAACATCTGTTCATGGTATCTACATATATGTATTCTGGTACAAAACACATCTTTTACACTGCACGGATGCACACCAAAAAAAGAAGTCTCAAACCACCAGTGAAGCTAAACATAGAAATGCTGTCAACAAGCAAATAACTGCAGCAACTTGGTTATTAAGACAACAGTAGATTCCACTGAAATTGTAATATGATCTTACCACTGTTTTTCCCATATTTTCTACTCTTTCTACTGAATCACTGAATCCTAAAAATGGGATTTCTATATACTGTAACTATGTAAATTAAGAAGAGTTAATATATGACTTTGCAAACAATAGAGTCCATCAATTATTTGTTTTAAGAATACCTGGTTCTGCACAGTAATCAAAGGCATTTCTTGAAAAAGAGAAGAACCAGCCGTTCTCCAAAACTTTAATTAGACCCAAGGAAGCCCTTCAATAACACTTAAACGTCACTAGAACTTAAGCATTAATAATTGCCATAACATCACAGCATAACAAAGAGTGCCACATGAAAGAGGCAACACGAGCCAAATGCACTTTGCTTCATGACAGTGACTAATACTGAAGTATACAGCCCTTTATTTCATGCACCTTTTATGCAGTGTTATTCCCCCATTTGCAAAGGCAGGAGATTGGATTTTGGTTTCCATTTATGCTAGAAATCTGAGAAGAAACTTGCACAAACTAGCTCTACCACAAATTAGAAGGGCAGCTGTCATGCAAAAGACACAGGAAGTTCCATATCTTAAAAACTATGCAAGATTAAGAGAAAGGTCTTCCCAAGAACTAGAACTTTGCTGACTTGTCATTTGAATTTCCAAAGAACAAGAACCACAACAATTAAAAACAAGGGATGGAAGCATCAATCACATCTGTTGCTGGCTGGAGATAACACCCAAACCAGTAACTATTTGCACTGGGTTTGTATGAACATTTGGAACAAATACATACCTCCAGATAGTTGGCTCAGGCATTCCAGGATCTGCACCTCTTTTAAAACCTGAAGTGAAACATACATTACATACATATAAAAAATAAAAAAGTATGTGCAGATTCCTGCATAGTTAAATCTCTATGAAGTTATTCTAGCCCATTAAATAGCAATTAAAAAGAAAACTACTGAACACAGAATTGTGATTCATGAAGCTGTGCACTAACCTGAACAAAACCTGCACATTCTTACAAGAGTCAGAAAGCAAAGAAAATAAATACCAGTGTACATTTTTCTTTTTTTTCAAAAGTCTTACCCGCATCTTTACCTGGCTTAAAATTCAGGGTCAACTAACTGTGTGAGATGAAGTCGTCTACCCCAGAGATCAAGATATGCACACTTTTACACACACAAACCCACAGATTTTAAATGTTGTTCAGAAAGCAATCTAGCAGGGCTCTACCAACAAAGACACTTAAAACTGGTGTAAACACCTCGAGGCCTAACAGGCAATTATGCAGTGATGTCTGACACACAACTTAGAAGCGGCATTTCAGTAACAGTTCACTCAATTTAGCATGGCAGATACTAAATGTTAAATCAATTAAACCTCAAATCTATTCTGACTAGCACTTTTTGGAAAAAGTAACATACTACTAAAGCTTGCAAACCAACAAGCTGTTTTCTAATACCCAGGAAAATGAAATGAAAGTTAACTACAAAGAGTTCATCCCAGTCCCCAGTCCCCATATAACTTTGATCAGTTGGTATATTTGAGTCACTATCAAATATACCAACTGATCAAAGTTATATGTATACTAGGGAAGCAACCGAAGGTTTAGTATATGAAGTATCTTTGCTCTCTGGACTGTAAAATGAAAGTCTTGAAACAGAATCATGCAATTCAGGCACTGTTCAACACTACACTGGCTATCTAGAAGTGAATGTTTCATGAAACATATTGTTTTCATCATTTACAGAAAAAGAATAATTCATGTCATGTTGCCTGAAACACAAGCCACAAAGGTTAATGGAAAAACTTCCATTAACTTCACAGGCACTGGAAAAGCTCTTTGAAGATAACCTTGAACGATCTGAGAAAACTAGACATCCTGACACAAGTTCTTTGGCTGTCATACTGTCCAGCAGCAGAGCTTAAAAATTCATGAATTGCAACCACACTCTGTGTGTGTTGAATGTTTCTGGCTCCTTGCCTTACTCCCGGTATTTTTAAATAAGCAAACCAGGTTTAAAAAAACTGCATTGGTTTAATTTACTGACTTAAAACCAGGCAGCCACTTTAAAGAAAGTTTTAAAAAATACAACAAAACCCCACCACTTAACTATAATTGCACTTTTTTGTTCTCATACTGGGCTCCTCCTACATGCCCTGAGCTAGAAAGCCTTACAGAGAAAGTTACAGGCTCAAATTTGCTGACCATTTCCTTGCCTATTTTTAGCTCAGCAAGTATTTTATACACACAGAGTCACACCTACCCTCCCAGATTCAAAAGTAATCCAAGTAGAGATCCTTTCAATCCTCCAGACTTTGGGCACTTGCCACCTCCAAATGTCTATGGCAATCAAGGTGGCATCTGCACTTCCCCTTCCCATCTGCTTATACCTTCATTACTGCAGATAAATTTATAAGAAGGCAATGTAGATGTGATATAGCATACTTATTTCTGGAAATATGAATCTGAACTACTACAACCCTAAATTTCTCACTGCTACACAACAAAAAATATACTAGGCACCCTGGTATTAGTGCAACTGTTAACACAACAAGGTGGCCTGATAAAATTTGAACTAACTTATTTAATGTCACTAATGCAACTAATGTCACTCTGATGTCACTAAGAAAAAAGAGCATCTTTCCAACATCCACAGACACTGTCATAGAAGTAAAATCTAAACAAAACTTCAACAACAAATTAGGTCAAACAACACTGCTGAAATTCCCACCCAAAACTTACTAATTTAAATTCACTGATGAACTGAAAATGGAAATGCAATTAAAGTTCAGACCTAATAATGCTAATTAGTTTTTTCCATAGTTTTTGAAGTGACGTCTTTCGCACGCAGTTGTTGCTAAAGCTGAAGAGACCAACGTTTTCCTGGTTGTTACCTATAAACAAACTAAGCCCTTCAAACCAGGCACTGCATTTCCTTCATGTAATCAAAACAACCTCTCAGATTTGAATGGAAACACATCAAGTTCCCAGCCATCCTTCATGTTTGCATTCAGTGCAAAGATGCTTGCCTGGTTTAGGTGCTTTTCCCCAAAGGCCCAACAGTTTGGGCAGAAAGTTAAGCCAAATCAATTGCAGGAATCAGCCTTCCTGGGCCTCTCTGTTACAAAAGAAGTGAACAAAAGTGTCTGGCCTCTCTTTAACAAGGACGGCTGATGGCATACCTCTCTAACTCAGCAGAACTACCACGTGGTAGTGATGCCTGGCCAGCCCCATGACAGGAGCAAGCAAAATATATCCCGGGCACCAGGCACAACAGCAAGTCATCTCCTTAACATTCCACTGCAGCTTGGAAACAGGAGCCACACTATTTTTGGTGTGAGAGAGACTGTAACCTGTATTCCTGTTGCTGGAAATTCAATCTCAGCCAGAGGCTGCCAATGCCCTCAGTGCCAAGAAGCAGAGCTCCCAGTGTTCTGCTCCCCACAGACTCCCTAGAGCACAAAGCACAGCCTTGACTGCTACAGCAGGCAGTCACTGATACAGGGTTAAATCGCAGCCTCCTTTGCTGCTTGGCTGCTTCAGTACTCTGCTCACTCCCCAGACAGGCCCTCACACAGGACTGGCCTCCAGGGAGGAAAAGGGGTAAAAACCTCTTTATTACAGAACCACAGAATTGTTAGGGTTGGAAGGGACCTCTGGAGATCCCCTAGTCCAACCCCTGCTAAGGCAGGGTCACCTAGAGCAGGTGATACATGAATGTGTCCAGGTGGGTTTTGAATGTCTTCAGAGAGGGAGACTCCATGACTTCCCTGGGCACCCTCAAAGAACTTCTTCCTCATGTTGACGTGAAACTTCTTGTTTATGAGGTGAAACTACTTCTACAGTTTATGGCCATTGCTCCCCATTCTGTAGCTGGGCACCGCTAAAGAGTCTGGCTCCAGTTTCTTGGCACTTCATTAAAGCATATTGGTACGCTTTAATGAGATCCACTCCCAGTCTTCACTTCTCTGGACTAAACTGGCCCAGCACCCGCAATCTCTTCTCATAATAGATGCTTCAGTCCCGTAATCATCCCCGTGGCCTTGTGCTGGACCCTCTCCAGCAGCTCATCTTTCCCGTACTGAGGAGCCCAGAATTCGACACAGCACTCCAGATGTGGCCTCGCTAGGGCCGAGTAGAGTGGGAAGATCGCACTTCACAAGAAAGATTTCTTCACAAAGAAAGGGGAAAAAACAAACAAAAACCATACAAGCACACAAACAAAAAACCCCAAACGTAACAAACAGCCTCCCCGTCTCAGTTCTGCCGAGGGCAGCCCCGCCCGCCCCTCCGCACATGCGCGGCGGGGGCAGCGCGGCGGGGCGGCCCTGGGCCCCCGGCCCTTCCCCGGCCCTTCCCCGGCCCCGCCGCTCCCCAGCGGCTCCGGCCGGGCCGGGGGGCGGAGAGCGGCCATCGGAGCCGGCCGCACACACCCGGCCTCGGGAATGGCCGCCGAGGGCCCCCGCGCGTCCCCCGCCCGGCACTGACCGAGATAGAGCACTACGGGGATGAAGCCCCAGCGGATGGCGAACTGGCCGCCCTTGAAGAGCTGCTGTAGCCGCTGCTTGGCCTCCTTGCTAAGCTTCGGCATCCCGGCGGCGGGGCAGAGAGGAGGAGGAGGAAGAGGAGGAGAAGGAGGAGGAGCGCAGCCGCTCTCGCAGCAGAGCCGTGCGCTGGGCGGGACCCATCTCCCGGCGGCGGGGCGGGGAGCGGGGCTGGCCGCGCCCTCGGCCGGGCCGGGAAATGGCGGCGGCGGGGTTCGTGCCGGGCTCCGGGCGGGCTCTGCTCGCTGCGGCCCCCGCGGGCTGAGGGAGCGGCAGCGGCCCAGCGGGGCTGTGCGCGGGCTGTAAGCGCTGAGGGTCTTCTGCCCGCCTCGGCTCCTGCCGCACTCCTGTGCGTGTCCTTCCCGGAGCTCTCGAGGTGTTGCGCAGACGCCGCCTCTGCAGGGTGGGAAGTGCCTTCGGTAAGTGAAGGGTAGAGATGGAGTGATAAGGAAAAGTGTTCCTGGAGGAAACTGGAAATGCGTCTCCATGATGCTGTGTCAACGAAGGTTTAGGCTTGATATTAAAAGGAAAATAATATGAAAAAGATTCTTCACGCAGGGGGTGGTTGGGCACTGGAACAGGTTCCCCAGGGAGGTGGTCACAGCACCAACCTGACAGAGTTCAAGAAGTGTTTGGACAACGCTCCCAGGCACACGGCGTGTCTCTTGGCACGTCTCTTGGCACGTCCTGTGCAGGGCTAGGAGTTCGACTTCGATGATCCTTGTGGGTCCCTTCCAACTCAAAAATATTCCCTGATCTTTGGTACCAGGCTGTGTGATGTATCCAGTCCATGGAAACAAGGAGTAAAAACTTGATTAGAAATATGAGGAGAGACATGATACATAAAAACTGCGAGTACAGCACTTGGAACTTGTTGTCCTTAAAAATCTCAGAGCCCAGATAAGCACTGAGGTATTTTGTTTTTTAACTAATAAGTGAGTGGCCTCTGTCCTTGCAGTGCCCTAACCACCAAGCTACTGTTTGTTTGACACAACTTACATGACATCTTGCTCTGTAGTGTCTATGCCTTTGATTCAATAATTTATATCACGTTTTTACCATGTTTGCATTCTTTCTCAGGTAGCCTCCTGCCCTTTGCTGTAATGCCAGATCCAAGCCAGATGCAGGTCTTCAGGTTCTGCTATTACTAATGCAGCTGCAGAAGTTGACCCCATCAGGCTGTATCATGTCTGCTACCTATAGCAAAGTTCTGCATGTTATATATTGGTTTGCCTACAGCAGCTACATGAACTTCTGTAGCCATTTTGTCACATTAAGAATAACAGCAAGTGAGATATCTTTTTAGAGACAAGAAAAAATCCAGGGATTTTTTAGAGACAAGAAAAAATCCAGGGATATAATAAATCTTACATATTCAGATATACCATTTACTCTTCCAGTGTATGGGTGCCTGTTCTGCCATTTCAAGATGATAAAAATAGGAGCTTTTTGCTCCCTACTTGCTCTCCAGGTGCAGGCAGGTAGCAAGCTGCAGGCAACATGAGGAGTTCTGGCAGCCCATGGCTTGCTTTTGCCACGGTCTGTGAATTATGAAAGTGTGGGAGGATGAAAGAATATTTTTTTGAGGTCATGGCACAAACTTGGAGTCATGTTGCAGAATGCACAGCCTTTCCTGCTCTATAGCAGTCCCAGTGCCCTGTGCTTCCATACACATTAAATGTGGGATACACCATTATTTCTAGTCATAGGACTGACACACATTTAATGATATCTGACAAGTAAAGTAGAGGCTTAGATTTTGTGAGTGTCTCTTTTATAAACTGAATAGCTTATCCCTATGGAAAAGTTAGGGATAGAAAAATACAGTGCTGTCTGTATTCATCATGAACGTCAATATGAAGTTCATAGGACTATATACCTACACGTTTCCCAAAAGAATATGCCTTTGGTGGGGAAATCCTAGGAATTCTAATTGAAAATTGAGAGAAAAAGTCTTTCTATCCATAGGTTTGTGTTGGATTTCAATTTTTTTGGTATATCACTGTTGTCAAACTTTTCAAATTAGTACACATAAGTAGAATTGTACAAATTCAAAATTACTAATTTACTCTTCTTCTAAACCTGTTTAGTGCAAGAGGCACATTCATTAATCAGCAATGGCTTATAATACTCAAAAGAGAACTCAACTATTGAACGTGGTTTTTCGACTTGCAGGAACCTGGTTTTCAACAGTTTGTATTAAATTGGTTTTCCTTTGTAGATGAGGCCAAGTAAGCTCTGTTTTCACACTGTGGTTACTGTTACAGCTTGTTCTTTCTAAACATACAAAACCAACTGTTCATTACAGTGCACAGCTTGTTAACAATCTCTTCCAAAATATTGCAATAAAATATGACCCACTGTGGTGGAATGAAATTCAAAAGGTATTTTTCCTTCCTGTAAATTTACTGCAAGTAGGATTGAGAAGGTCAAATGTACAGACCTGATATGAAGGGTTGAACAGTTGCTCTGTCTCCTTTGAGATTTGGTTTAACAGTGTCACGTGTGACATAGTGCATATGTTATTGTGGGTGTTCTTGAGAAAGGCTAGTCACCAAAGTGTGCCACATGTACCAAATCTCTTCTTCCCTTCACACATTGAGTCAAGGAGTAATTTTCCGAGTACAGAAACATGTTAGCCTTCATTTCTCACATCTGCCAATTTGAATGTTTGACTAAAAGCTTGTAGGTTATTTCATTAATTTAACTACAGAAGACAGGAAACTAATAGCAAGAAAGTTAGTATTACTTTGCCAATTTTCTCTCAAACAAAATCAGCACTAGAAGAGCACAAGGGTGTGTGTTTGGTATGCAAATAAACCAGTGTTGATTCTGTATAGTTGCTGGTCTAGATCTACATATTCTTACATACTGAAACTATGAAAGGATGTCTATAAACTAAGAATTTTGACTGGAGAAAAGCACCTATTTCATCATAATAGTCCATAGTCAACATCCATAGTCTCAGACTGTCCAACATAGCATGTTTGCATTAAAGGATCTCAACTAGCCAACCAACCAACAAACCCACAACTCCTCCACAACAAAAAAAAACACAAACCAGTAGATGGTTGTGCTGACTGCAAAAGTTTTCCATGCCTTTTTTTGGCTCCTGTGTCACCTAGGTTGTTAGAGGATCTAAGAGCTCAGACAGAGGGGGAGGGAGAGCAGCAGTCATTCTCCCTGCAAGTTCATGGGACAGCACTAGTCACATAAATATTGTCAGTTAGCCTCTAAAAGCAAATGTGCCTGTGATGGGCATGAAACAATGAGCTTCTTTGAAGGGAGAAAACATAACACCCAAACAAATGGGTATGTAAGATGGAGGTGACTCTGCCTGACAAGGCAGAAGTAGGATTTTATGAGTGTGCTGTTGGTATTCATGTTTGTAGTTATTGTGGTAACACTCCTATGAAGGATTTTGATTGTATTTGATTTTTTTCTTGTGGCTGATAATGAAACCAAAACCATTTTGATTTTATTTGAATTTTTTCTTGTGGCTGATAATGAAGACAATACCATTTGGAATGGTGTATCCATTAACTAAGGAGAACAAGAGCCCCAGTTGCTGGATTGATGAAAGAAAATTAGTGATACCATAGATGTTGAAAGTCTTTTGTTGCAAAAAAACCCCAACTCTTTGAATTTCTTTTGCCTTGTAGCTTCATGTGATCAGCAATAACAATAAAATCAGAAACAAAATTGCAGAGGTTTCAACTGGGACAACAAGCATGAATCTCTTAATTTTTTATTAGCTTGATTAGCAATGATTCCACAAGTGTTTTCATAGCAAATAAATGTCACTAAGTATTCCTGGTAAAATGGCCAAATATTCCCATTTTTATTGATAAATGAGGGAATTGAGATTCTTATAGACATGACTGAATCGCTGAAGTGTCAGATTCAGGAAATAATGTCACTTGGTCAGATGGCGTTTTCTTTTTGAGTGCAAAGGGTACCTTTCAGGTTAAAGAATTCCAGACTTCTAAAGCTTTATCTCAGCAAACCATAAAGTAAAGCCATGAAACAGTACATGCGACTCAGAGGCTGATGAAGGAGACAAAGTGCAGTGACACATTGAAGTCTGTAAAAAATCACTGTAAACTTCATAGAAAATTCCCTGCAGGCCTCCATTAAGCACTTAGCAATCTCACTTTTGAGATTTCTCCAATATACTGACAAAAAGCTGCATTAAATTCATCTACTTGGGAACAAAGATTGCGTTTGACCCTATTTAGGAGGAGCTTAGATTTCAAAGATGCTATGGTGGATGTTTCATACTTTAGGATTATACCATAAATCAGTATAAATAGCACAAGAACATAAGGAAGAGCTCTTCAGCAGATTTCCACTGCAGGCTGAATCTTTATGGTGTCAGTAAAAACAGTAGTATATTATGACTAGACATTCTATTTCACTTCATTAATATTACTAAACTTCCTATTTTTATTATGCCCTAATAATGATGTTCCTTCTATTCTATTTTAGTATTCCTATTAATTTGGTCTAATAAATCCTTGCTTCTCTGCAGTACTACTGATCTGGGAAATGTTCCTTTTCATTTCACAATGACAAGAAAAACAGAGACAAAGAGAAATGGAAAGTACTATGGTGAAAGTAGCAAAGACTTAGTCTGTCCAGTTAGGTCATGTGCAAAACATCCAGAATTCTAAATTGCCTTCTTAATGTTATTGAGACCTAGATTAGTTTGGGGTGAGTATATGTGAGCTCTTGCATTTGGCATAATTTCCAAACATGCTTGGAATGTAGAGCTGCAATGCATATAAAAAAATTTCTGTCCAAATTAGAATCTTCATATGACTTTCAGTATGATACTAGTTGGATATACTCTGGTCACTGTCTGATATGGGATATTTCCAATAAAAGTGATATTGCCAGTCACTCTGCGGGTTTCAGCTGGGGTAGAGTTAATTTTCTTCATGGTGGCTGGTATGGAGCTGTATTTTCTACTTGTGCTGAACAGAGGGTTGATAATATAGAGATGTTTTTGTTACTGCTGAGCAGAGCTTCTACAGAGCCAAGGCCTTTTCTGCTTTTTATACTGTAACACTGGTGAGGCTGGGGGTGCATTAGAGGCTGGGAGAAGACACAGCCAGGAC